AAGATGAAAAATGGGAATTTTTCATTGCAAAAAGAAGTGGCATGCAAGAATTTAGTTTTGTTTTGTTTTTTTTTTTTGGAAAGAAAAAAAAAGATCAAATTGATGAATCATTTTCATTCATTCATAACAGTCAGTCATTTTATTATTCATATATTTATTTATTCCTTTCACATTTTTATTTCTCAATTCTCTTTCAATCAAATATTTTAAAAGTAGAAAAAAAGAATGAAATGAAATGTATATATAAAGTATAAAAATAATTGAGGATGAGAAATTGAAGAAAAAAAAAAAAAATGTAATGCAATGAATGCAATTTCAAGTATGAAATCATTACAAATGACTAAGTTATAAATAAAATGAAAAATATTTTTTTTTTTTTAAGCCAACAACAAAACGACGGATATGTAAACAGAATGTCAATCGATTAGAGATGACAACAGCCAGTTGCAAACAACTTTGTCTCTCATTTCAAAATTTCAATCAATAATAAAAATAAATCACACAAACTTTTCAGAACTGTAAATTTTGTTTTCCTTTCTACCATTTCCTCTTCTTCTTCTTCTTCGTTTCTTTTTTTTTTAAAAAAGAATTGAAAAATTGAAAAAAAAAGAAAAGAAAAGTGAAAACAATTAATTAATTAAACAAAAAGAAAAAGATGGAATTTTCCTTTCTTTTATTATGATAATTATTTGCTTATATATATATATTTTTTTTCTTTTTAATGAAATTCATTTGTTAGCTATTTATAAGCATTTATTTTAGATATATTTCAGCAATACCTAAGCTAAGTACAAAATTTTTTTTTTCTAAAAAAAAAATTGTTATAGCTAATTTTTATAATGGAAATTTTTAAAAATGAATCATAAAGTTAAGTAAATTTTCAAATTTATATAAATGAATGAATGAAATAGCAGTAAGTATAGTAAGTAGTAGTAATAGTAGTAAATAGTAAGTAGTAAGTAATAGTAGTAGTAGTAAATAGTAAGTAGTAAGCAACACAGGGATTAGGGATGAATGATGCAAATTGAATTTTATCAAACCAACCGATCCATCCATCCATCCATCCATCCAACCATCCATTTATCCATCTATCGATCAGAAAACAATTAGATAAGAAAGTAGAAAAGGATTTTTAGTTATTTGAAATTTTTAACAAAAAAAAATTTTTTAAAATAATGAATAGTTTATAGTTAGTTATCAATATGATATGATAATTAATCATATAAAATAATATTTTTGCTTTTTTCTTTCTATTTTCAGCTCTTTTCTTTCTTTTTTTTTTTGTTTTATTTTAGTTTAAGAAAATTTCTAAAAAGCAAAAAAAAAACAAAAAAAAAATTAAAATTTGCAGAAAGTAAAAAAGGAAAGAAATCAAAAGGTAATGTAAAAGAAAAAGAAAAAAATTTTTTTTTTTTATATTAAAGAAAATCAATTAAAATTGTTGAAATAAAGCATAGGAAAATGAAGAAAAGTTGAAAGAGAGAGAGGTAAAGGGGTGAAACAGAGAAAGAGTGAAAGGGAGATAGAAGGGAAAGGGGACGGAGGAAGAGAAAGAGAGGGAGAGAGGGGAAGAGAGAGAGAGAGAGAGGAAGATCGATCGAATTTAGAAAATTATACTACCGCCTGTTATGCTTACTACCAATACTACTACTACTACTACTGCTATTACTATCACCCATCATTTAACTATTACACCTCCTCAGTGACTCTCTTACTCATTGATTACCTTTTCTATTATTCCTTCCAATCATTTCTCTCCCTCTGTCCCTCTGTCCCTCTCTCTCTCCCTCTCTCTGTCTCTGTGTTTTCCCTCTCTCTTTTGTCGCATTTAGTAGTGTCATTTTGGTGTGCATAAGGGCTATATGAGAACTTTTTATTATCAAAGATAATATAATATACCCAAAATAATAATTTACTTAACTATTACTATTACTTAATTACTTAACTTAACATAGTGCATAGTTTATAAGGAATGAAATTTTAACATTTAATAATTAATTAATTAACTTAATTAGTATTTTATTTGCTAATTGAGTAAATAGAAAAGAAATTGTTTTTTATTCATTGTATGGATGAATGTTAAATAAATGAGAAAAATTTTTTTTCAATTTATGAATTACTCACAAAAGAAAGAACAATAATTGTACTTTTCGTTACACTTCGGTAGAAGCATTGAAAATAACTAATTTTTGAGTTTCTTCCAATTTTTGAAAATTTTTATTATTCAAGAAAAACAAAAAGAAATTATTTTGAATTGATCAACTGTGTCACATCGTTACATTCAAATCCAAATGATTTGATCAGTTATTGTGAAAAGTAATTTAGTAAACTTAATAAATAAATGCATGGAAAACTGATAAACTAATTATATTTAATTCATATCAGATCATTGATTTTTAATGTTCATTATTGATTGATTTAATTTAGAGGTTTGGAGATATTTTAAATTCATCAATTATGTCACATCGTCGATATATCAAAGATCTATTGCTATTGGTTAAAAAAAAAAAAGGAAAAAATGAAGAAAGATGAATTCATTGATTGATCAATTAATGTGTTTACCTACTAATTAGAGTGTTATCATTCCTGCTTATGACCTTGACCTTTCATATCGTTTTTATTGAGAAAAAAGAAAAAACAAATTTAACTTACTTTTTATATGTCATACTTTAATAGAGCTTTGAGATAAATGAAGTGAATCATATCCAAATATCTTAATTATAATATAGAAATATTTACTTCAATTAATACAAAAATAATTGTTTGCAGAAAAAGAAAAAAAAAATTACAATTTGTATGCTAAATATATTAATTCTTCTGAAAACATTAATGGCATAAAAAGTAAAAATGATTAAGTTTTAAAGTAAGCAAATAATGGTATTTCCAAATAATAATCCGATGAGTAAGCCTATCTTTCTTTAATAAAAGAATTTGTCTCAATATGTATAATTATACTGAAATTGAGGTCTTCCGGTTGTCATCACTGATTGAAATATTCCGGAAATTTAAATCTTCAGAGTGATGGATTGACTGAAATATTGTGCAGTCAGAAGAACAAAAAAATTTTTTTTAATTAATATGTATTCAATGTAGCACTTTATTTCTCTCTTTCTTTTTTATAATTCATGAAATTGCAAAAAGTAACAAAATTTTCAGTTAAAAATTTTCACTCCTTTAAAGAATCATTTGCATTGGATTTAATTTTAATAGTAAACGTAATTCGTAAATTTAAAATATATAAACCTAGTTTTATAAAGTGAGCGTAATTAATTTAAAATGGAATGAGAAAGGATTTCGATGAAATGAGCGAATGTTATGCATTGTTTATTTATTTATTTATTTATTATTATTATTATTACGAATGAAAGTTATTAACGAATGTTAATTAAGAATATGTATTAAGTTTGGAGAATTCTAATCGTAAAATCGGAAAAATACTTTGCAAAACTGTCATTTCCATAATATTTTCACTTATCAGTTGATTATAATCAATTGATCTATAAACTTTAAAATGCTGCCTAAATGAATACCCAAATAATCATCCATTAATTAATCAAATTATTTTGAAAAAAAAATATCTAAAAGGAGCTCTGTAACTGATATATGATAAAAGTAAATATCAATTTTGTTAGATAGCTCAAGATTTGTTTTCTTAAAAAAGGAGGAAAAAAAAAATAAAAATAAAAAGCTTATATGTGGCATCATGGAATAATAGACAGTGAAGAGTAGTAAAGATTACGAGAAGAAAGATTAGATTTAAAAAAGCCTTCTTTATTTTTCTCTCTTTTTTTTATCTACTTAAAACATAAACAAGTGAAAAATAAGAAAAACAAGCTATATACTCTTCTATAAAATTTAGATAGAGCCTTCCATCCAAAAAAAAAAAAAAAACAAAAGCCAATTCATTCATTCGTTTCAAAAATAGACAAATAGTAATGGCAAAGTAAAAGTCAACATTAGATATGTTAATTTGATAAACACAAATTTTGTTTATTTGGCAAAGATAATGTCATAGCGGAGAGATTGAAGTTATATAGTTTACATTTATGTAATAAATAAAATAAGATGGAAAATTAAATTTGCTTTTGATTGGAGAAGAGAGAAATTAGCATTAATTTCATGTTTTAAATATTTATCAATATCAAATATATTAAACGATGATAATATATCATTAAAATGTATTATAGCCATTTTTTATTTGGAACATTAGAAAAGCTAAAAAAAAAAAAAGCTTTAAAATTAAATAAATTTTTTGGTTATTTCTTGGAATAATATATTGCTTTTTATCAGTGAACAATTGATATTGTCTTGCTTGCTGATTGATATTTCATTTTATGATCTGATTAAATGAATTTTATTTTTTTTTTAAACGATATTATGATATAATACGAAATATGTTCTGGTAAAAAAACTATTTAATAGTAGTAGTAATTGTTAATAAAATTTATCAAAAATATAAAAAGTAGTTGTTAATTAAATCTACTAATTGTAATTATACCATTAATTAAATCAATATAAAAAACTATGATTTATACTGAATAACTAACATTCATTAGTGACAAAATTCATTTCGTTATCATTTTCAAAATTTAAATACATTTAAAAAATGGAAAGATGATAACAATTTGCTAAATTTACTGCAATATTACAGCATATCCTATTTCACTGATCAATTGATCATTTCAGATTAATCTCTGAAAATAAACACTAATACATTTCATATTTCTAATTTAATCCACAATTAATTGATAATTTGTTGCATACACAAATAAAAAATACAAAGAAATTTTTTATTCATTTTATTATAAATCAATGATTAGTTTATGAAATAAATACATATTTATTCACAAATGCATCAATATTCTCTCAATTTTATTAATATTCTTCGTTCAGATCATCATCATTTCTATAGATCATCCAAATCAAATCAAATACTTTGATAATAATGATAAGTTCACCAAAATTTATAGCTATACTTGATGAAATAAATTGCCATATAATTAGATCCAAGTACTTGTTGGATCATTATTTGCTGCTGTTGTCGAAGATACAGCAAAATAAACACTTTCATCGTCAGAATTTTGACTGTTCTGCATTTCTTTCATACTTCGAATCGAGAAGTATATACTTCTATCATCATTATCATCATCGTAATCATCACTATCAATCACAGTATCATCATTGTTAATCACAGCATCATTTTGTTTACCCTTTTCACTCTCATCCTTATTTATTTCTGTCATTTGATTATTCTTATTGTCGTCTTTTTCCAGTTCAGTTTCATAAATGGTCAAAAATGTGGCTTGTTGAGCAATTTTATTGCTTTTTTGAATTTTCAATGATTTTGATTGATTTCTTGGTGATAATGAATAAACATGTGCTGGCACTGAAAGAAACACAGTAGATTGTTTACAAACTGAAACATTTTTTGTAAACAAAAAAGTAAGAAATTTTCATCTAAAATAAAACTCTAAAAGACAGACATTAAAATTTCTATAAAACAATTAATAAACAAATAAACAATATTTTTGCATTTTTTTTTCTTTCGCCATTTCAGGTGATATGATTCTACGAGCGGTTATTGATGAAACATCTAACTCTAAATGGTCATTGAAATTTATGTCAAATGATTAACAAATAAGTGAATACGTACTTTGCTATAGCCGATAAACAAACAAATAAACAAGTTAAAATCATACTATCAAAGACTTTGTCGTAATTCGGCATTTGCCTTCTACCCTTTTCCTTCTCTTTAGGTGATACCATTTCTGCAGTGTTCACCGACGATTCCTCACACGCTGAATGATAATCAAATTCGAATTAAGCAATTAGTAAAGATATAGAAAATAAACAGTAAACAAGTAAACATATACTTTCATAATCATTTTTGTAATCCTCTGTCTTCGTTCTATCCTTTGCTTTCATTTTAGATGATATCATTTCAGTTGTAGCAGCCGATAACTGATCATAGGTAACCAATGATTTTTCAGAATCTAAATGTTCATCGAATTTTTATCAGACAATTAGCAAATAAATAAGATAAACAAATAAGTAGAGTGAGACTATTTCCAAACAAAGAAATAAACATATACTGTTAAACTTTTTGTCGTAATTCTCTATTTCTCTTCTATCCTCCCCCATTTTTCTAGGTGATACCATTTCCGCAGTGTCCACTGACCATTCTTCACACGCTGAATCATAATCAAGTTCGAATTAAACAATTAGTAAAGATATAGAAAATAAACAGTAAACAAGTAAACATATACTTTCATAATCATGATCTTCTGCCTTTCTTCTATCTTTCTTATCCACTGTATATGATACCGTTCCAGCAGCAGCGACCAGCGATTCTTCAAAATAATCGTCAAATTCATATTAATCAACAACTAAATCAAATAAACATATATGAAAAAGCAAGCAAATAAACATTTACTTTCAAATTCTTTATTGTAATCCTCTATCTTTCCTCTCGCCTTTTCCTGTATTTTAGGTGATACCATTATTGCAGTGTCAATTGACGACTCCTCACACGCTGAAAGATAATCAAACTCGAATTAAGCAACTAGCAAATAAATAAAACAAACAAACACCAAACAAGTAAACACATACTTTCATAATCACTTTCATAATTTTCCGCCTTTTTTCTATCTTTCATTCCCAGTCTAGATGATAACATTCCAATAGCAGCGACAGGTGATGCTTCAAAATGATCGTTAAATTAGTATCAAACAATTAGTAAACAATTAAATATAAATAAACTAAGCATGTGAACAATTACTTTCATAATCTTTTGCGTAATCTTCCATTTTCCGCTCCTCCTTTTCCTTTGTAGGTGATACCATTCCACCAGCGGAAACTGACGTTCCTTCAAAATGATCGTTAAATTAGTGTTAAACAATTAGTAAACAATTAAATATAAATAAACTAAGCATGTGAACAATTACTTTCATAATCTTTTGCGTAATCTTCCATTTTCCGCTCCTCCTTTTCCTTTGCAGGTGATACCATTCCACCAGCGGAAACCGGCGTTCCTTCAAAATGATCGTTAAATTAGTGTCAAACAATTAGTAAACAATTAAATATAAATAAACTAAGCATGTGAACAATTACTTTCATAATCTTTTGCGTAATCTTCCATTTTCCGCTCCTCCTTTTCCTTTGCAGGTGATACCATTCCACCAGCGGAAACCGGCGTTCCTTCAAAATGATCGTTAAATTAGTGTCAAACAATTAGTAAACAATTAAATATAAATAAACTAAGCATGTGAACAATTACTTTCATAATCTTTTGCGTAATCTTCCATTTTCCGCTCCTCCTTTTCCTTTGTAGGTGATACCATTCCACCAGCGGAAACCGGCGTTCCTTCAAAATGGTCGTTAAATTAGTGTTAAACAATTAGTAAACAATTAAATATAAATAAACTAAGCATGTGAACAATTACTTTCATAATCTTTTGCGTAATCTTCCATTTTCCGCTCCTCCTTTTCCTTTGCAGGTGATACCATTCCACCAGCGGAAACCGACGTTCCTTCAAAATGATCGTTAAATTAGTGTCAAACAATTAGTAAACAATTAAATATAAATAAACTAAGCATGTGAACAATTACTTTCATAATCTTTTGCGTAATCTTCCATTTTCCGCTCCTCCTTTTCCTTTGCAGGTGATATCATTCCACCAGCGGAAATCGGCGTTCCTTCAAAATGGTCGTTAAATTAGTGTCAAACAATTAGTAAACAATTAAATATAAATAAACTAAGCATGTGAACAATTACTTTCATAATCTTTTGCGTAATCTTCCATTTTCCGCTCCTCCTTTTCCTTTGCAGGTGATACCATTCCACCAGCGGAAACCGGCGTTCCTTCAAAATGGTCGTTAAATTAGTGTTAAAGAATTAGCAAACAATTAAATATAAATAAACTAAGCATGTGAACAATTACTTTCATAATCTTTTGCGTAATCTTCCATTTTCCGCTCCTCCTTTTCCTTTGCAGGTGATACCATTCCACCAGCGGAAACCGGCGTTCCTTCAAAATGGTCGTTAAATTAGTGTTAAAGAATTAGCAAACAATTAAATATAAATAAACTAAGCATGTGAACAATTACTTTCATAATCTTTTGCGTAATCTTCCATTTTCCGCTCCTCCTTTTCCTTTGCAGGTGATACCATTCCACCAGCGGAAACAGGCGTTCCTTCAAAATGATCGTTAAATTAGTGTTAAAGAATTAGCAAACAATTAAATATAAATAAACTAAGCATGTGAACAATTACTTTCATAATCTTCCATTTTTCCTTTCTCCTTTTCTTGTTTTTTAGGTGATACCATTGACCATTCTCCACACTCTAAATAATCATCAAATTCGTATCAAGTATTTAGTAAATAAATAAATAAATAAACATTTACTTCCATAGCCTTTGTTGTAATCTTCCATTTTTCCTCCATCTTTTTGCTTTGATTTAGGTGATAACGTTCTAGCTGTGTCGGCCGATGGTTCTTCAGAGGTAATTGATAGTTTTCCGGATTCTGAGTCTTCAGATCCTAAATGCTCTTGGTTTTTCGGATAAAATTCTTATTAAATAATCAATAAACATTTAAATATAGAACAAATAAACAGCAAACATTTACTTTCATAGTCTTTATTGTAGTTCTTTCCATCTTTTTGCTCTAATTTAGGTGATAACATTCTGGCTGTGTCGGTCGACGGTTCTTCAGAGGTAATTGATAGTTTTCCGGATTCTGAGTCTTCAGATCCTAAATGCTCTTGGTTTTTCGGATAAATTCTTGTTAAATAATCAATAAACATTTAAATATAGAACAAATAAACAACAAACATTTACTTTCATAGTCTTTATTATAGTTTTTTCCATCTTTTTGCTCTAATTTAGGTGATAACATTCTGGCTGTGTCGGTCGACGGTTCTTCAGAGGTAATTGATAGTTTTCCGGATTCTGAGTCTTCAGTTCCTAAATGCTCTTGGTTTTTCGGATAAATTCTTGTTAAATAATCAATAAACATTTAAATATAGAACAAATAAACAACAAACATTTACTTTCATAGTCTTTATTATAGTTTTTTCCATCTTTTTGCTCTAATTTAGGTGATAACATTCTGGCTGTGTCGGTCGACGGTTCTTCAGAGGTAATTGATAGTTTTCCGGATTCTGAGTCTTCAGATCCTAAATATTACTGTTAGCTTTTCAAATAAAATTCTTATTAAGCAATTGATGAAGTTATAAATATAGATGAATAAATAAACAATAAACATTTACTTTCATAATTTTTATTGTAATCCTCCATATCTTTTTGCCATATTTTAGGTGATAATAGTCTGGCTGTACCGGCTGATGATTCTTCAGAAGTGACTGATAGCTTATCAGATTCTAAATGGTCATAAAATTCTTGTTAAATAATCAATGAACATAATAATATAGAACAAATAAACAACAAACACTTACTTTCATAGCATTTATTATATTCTTCCATCTTCCTTCTATCTTTTTCCTCCTTTTTAGGTGATACAGTTTTAACTGTAGCATTCGATGATTCTTCAGAGGTGACTGATAGTTTTTCAGATTCTAAATGATCATAAAGTTTTTATTAAGCAGTCAAGAAACAAAAACAAATAAGTAAATATGTACTTCCATAATCTTTATTGTAATCCTTTATCGTTTTTTCTTTCATCTCTTTCATAGATTTTGTCATTCCAATAGCTGTGATTGCTTGTTCATCCGATTTCTCTAAATATTCATCAAATTTTATGATAAACAAATAAACATATATCTTAGTCATAGTTAATGGAAATCATTTACCTTGATAATTTTCCTTTATCCTTTTTCCCTTCTTCTTCTTTTTCTTTGATGTCGTTCCGGTGGATGTGATGGACGTTTTATGTTCATCAAATTTCTCTAAATGAGTTATCAAACTTAAAGAAATCCTTTACCATGAATTTTATTTCTAACTAAATTTTATCAACTGTAATAAAATTTTCTATGATTATAATGTTACTTATGCTAGTGTATTAATGCAATGACATATAATTCTTTCATATTTTTGATAATTAAATAATCATCAGAAAAAGGAATAAATTACCGGATTTTGACTTTAACTTTGGTTCAATTTTACTTTTCTTCTTAACCTTTTGCTTGCTCTCCTTATCCACCTTTCTCTTAACTTCTTTCTTTTTTTTCTTCTCGGCATCATTTTCTTTTTTCTTTGAAGATTTCCTTCAAAAATATTATCAATGCATCTTTGGCTTGTTTCAATTCTAATAAAAATTCCATTTTTTAATTTACGCTAAATCATTAAAAGTTTACAAATAAGTTAGAAATAATAAATAAATATATTTTAAATCATTTCAAATGAAGAAATCATTTAAAATACATCCATTTCCATGTTCTTTGTTTATCATTTACTCTTTATAATTTACTAATCAAAAATAATCGATGCTTACTTCTTAGCCAGTACCTGAAACACAATTCTTTTTGCACAGTCAATAAACAAATTATTACCATCTATTGATGTGAAGAAATATTTTAGAATGTTGAAAAGTAATTCCAAAAAAAGGCCATTTACCTTGTCTGCACTACCAGATGTGCTTCCACTAGATATCTTATTTGGTTGTTCTTCTAATGGTGGTACTGCTTCTAAAATAAATTTAATTAATTTTTTTTTTTTTTTTTTGAGATCAAAAACTTGTTCATAATAAGGAATCAAGTTGCATGAAATTTTTTAATAAGCTTTTTGATGCTTATTTTAGAATTTTGTTTTGAAATAATTGAAGCTAACATCACAGATTAGTAAAAACCTATTTTAGATTTTTTTTTTTTGAAACGAAAGTATTTTTGATTAAATAATACTAACAATTAACCATTCATACTAATATAATGAACTGCAAAGAAAACACGGTAAAAAATGTCCGACATCAAGAAACATTTGTGAAAAGAACTGAAATTAAATACTAAAAAAAAAAATAAGTAAAATTTTGCCACCTTTTCTTTTTTTATTCCTTCCTTTCACACGAATTTTCTAGAAAGAAATAAGCAAAAATTTTTGTTTCAATAGAGTTTTATACGATAAAATTTTTATACATATATGATAATATAAGTTTTAAATTATTTGAAAATTGAAAGTGAAATTTTTTAAAATTTTATTTCTAGTTTTAATTCAAGTTCTTATATTTTTAGACTCAATATTATTCGGTTACTGCTTTGCTGATCATTTTCTTACTCATTTTTCCTCATATTTTTCATTTTTTTTAAAGAAAAAAGAAAATGAATGACATACATAGCGTTCGTTGAAATAATTGTAGTATGGGTTGTAAATATCAACAACTTTGTTATGCTTAATTTAATTTTATAATTAAATATACTTTACTTACAAATTGCAACAAAAACCAAATGCATAAAAATATGCAAAGCAAAAGTTTGAAAAAAAATGACAAAAATTGATATACCTTAGTATTTATATATCTATGCCGTCTTTTCCTTTTTGGTTTACTTGCGACAACATCTGAAATATTTTTGATAACAAAATTCTAAGAAAGATATCAAAAAAAAAAACTTTTATTCAAATCTTTTTTCTTTCTAAAAAATTTAATTCATCGTCATTATACCGAAGCATATTCTCCCTCTCACTTTTTTCTTTTTTTAAAAAATTATAACTATTTATTTCAAATAATTTTAAATGTAAAAATTACTCATAAACTGAAATTGTTATTGTAGATTAATGAAATTTTTGAAATTTCAAAAAAATTTTATGAATTACAACTGTAAAAAGATTACCACTCGAATTGGAAGTTGACATTTGTGGTAAAAAAAAAAAAAAACTGAAAAAATAAAATACAGTATTGGAAACATGATTATCGGGAACAAGTTCATCTAATTAATCCTAATTATCATGATTACTCAGCCATTCCTTTTAACCTATTTGCTACTCTTGACCTTAGACAGCATACTCCTTTAGCATCAAACTTATCTACGGAAAATCCAGCTAGATCATTAGACCATCATCAATTCAAATATTCTAAATGCATGAAAATTCTCAGATCACTTGAAACTTCTAGAATGAATAATATTCTAATTTAGAATATATTTAAGCTCTATCCTTTTCTATATGTGATGATAAGGTGTAGAGATCAGTATTATTTGAGAAATAATTTCAAAAGTTACCCGATCAATATTATTAGTATTTTCTAAGTTCATAAGTTTCTCATTGCATTAAGTCTCCTGTACACTTCAAATTTCATATCAACATTAAAAAAATAAGCTATAAAAAGCGAGAAAAGAAAACGTTTGATTTGCTTTACAATATGAGCTGAAATTAGTTGCTAATTTAAAATGGACGAAACAATTTGGACTTTTCCAACCGGTCAGTAAAAGATCGTGGAAAAAAAGTGAATGTTAATGCATATTCGCATTTATTTATATTATTCGATAAAATCCTGTATTAGAATTTATCAGTTATTCATGGAATAAATGAAAAATTTGCATAAATCTAGAGAATTTATTCATATACAGCCATATCATCATTATCTTTCGATCTGAATTCTAGTTGATTCGATTTTCCATGGAATCTTTTGTCTCAATATTTCATGTTCAGTAATAGAATTTCCCCCAAATAATATTTTTAGTCCATATAATCTTTATCGGAAAAGTTTCTTGGCATATGTATTCCTGCTGTCGTACTTTGCAATAACAACAAAAACATAAACAAAATATTAGATTAGACCAATAGTCGACTAAATTTTTACTAAATTGTGTTACTTTCACTTTACCACTGTTAATGCTTAAGTCAAGTTGAGTCGAGTATATCGAATAGTATCGAGTCTATCCTCACTATATTGAAAATTTCTCCTCTTCTATCACTGAACTCTCTTCTGAGAGCAATTTCATGTGATCCTTGTTTTGCTGACCGAACATGTTACTGTAGCAACATGTTACGACTTTTGCCATTGCACAATGTTATTGATTACTTTTGAGCTATGATTCGATGAACAGAGCGAATTAGTTAACACAATATTCAGCGAATAAATATATTCTTAACAGATTGTAACGTTCTATACAGCAAACACAAGTTTAGCTGTAATTTAGTGCGTAAATAATCTTCCAATCAAGATATTTTAATAGTTTTAAAATTTGTGTAGTGATTCTTTTACACTATTATAATAAATTTAATACAAAAATATTTTATTTTGATATTGATATTTTTATTTCGGTTTTTTGGACACATTAGCAATATAACTATTAGTAATTTTAGTTATATTGCTAATGTGTCAGTGATTTTATCACAGATCAAAACTTCATAAACTGGAGGACTTCAGTACTCTTTTACACCATTCCATCTCAAGAATAATTATTTATTTCGATGCAGAAATGGTCCTTAAATTAATTAATTTACTGAAATATCAAAAGCGATTGAAGATTTATTCAATGCTTTGATTTTTTTCCTATTCTCTTTTCTGGTGCTTTTTGAATGTTAGCTAAATAATCCCTAAAAAAACATAAAATTTGATAAGAATAATAATCCTCAAAAAGAAAATATAAAATCTTTGAAAACATGAAATAATTACTTTGATGTGCTAGGTTCAAAGAGATAAATACTAAAATACATTTCATTTTATTTCCTTTGCCCTCACCAATGATTAGAATTTGGCTTTTTTGCTATCCAAATGAGTTGTGGCCAAAATACAGAGTATGCGCAGTGCTGAAATCTACGTTTAATTGCCACTTAAATTTTTTGGTTCACAAACACTGCACTTTCATTCATTTGCAATTTACGCTTGCAAAAATTATGTAAAAGATTGAAATAGAAGTATGTCCTTGTTTATTTCAATGTTTTCCATTAAAAAAAAGAGTGTTGTTGGTGTTTTTTAGAGATCATTCATAAGGATTAAGGAAATGGACTCAGTTAATATTGTGGTACTTTGAATTTATTTAGAGATAAATGTTCTACAGCCATTACTAAAGTCTTTGCCAGACCTAACACCCATACAATTCATCATATCATAGTTGATTTAGGGCCTAGCCCAAACCATTTATCTAGTTGCTGATCTCTCTCTCTCTCTCTCGCTGCTCGTTATCCGCAGGATTATTCAGTGATACATCAATTGCTTCTCACTATATTGCAAACACAATGAAAATTAATGCTTATTTCCGGTTAGAAAATCAATGCTTATTTGTGAAATACGATATATTATTATAAGCAGTGAAATATGTCCATTTACTTGAATAAATAAAATGAATGATATGAATACAGGACATGTACGAAAGCTATCATTTCCAAATGTTTTCGTTTTCATTTCGAAGTCTTTAATCCAGAAATATTACCAGCTCCAGCTGTACCCCCAGTCCCAGCACCTTGTCCCGGCATCAAGTAGGCACTTTTTTGTCCACCTCCTCCTAGTGTTGCACCTGCATTGCCAACTCCAGTCCCAGTTGTACTTCCAGCGCCAGTAACTTGCCCCGGCATGAAGTAGGCACTTTTCTGTCCACCTCCTCCTATTGTTGCAGCTGCACCTGCAGTGCCAACTCCAACTCCAGCTCCAGCCGTACCTCCAGTTCCAGTAACTTGTCCCGGCATGAAGTAGGCACTTTTCTGTCCAGCTCCTCCTATTCCTGCAGCTGCACCTGCAGTGCCAACTCCAACTCCAGCTCCAGCCGTACTTCCAGTTCCAGTAACTTGTCCCGGCATGAAGTAGGCACTTTTCTGTCCAGCTCCTCCTATTCCTGCAGCTGCACCTGCAGTGCCAACTCTAGCTCCAGCCGTACCTCCAGTTCCAGTAACTTGTCCCGGCATGAAGTAGGCACTTTTCTGTCCAGCTCCTCCTATTCCTGCAGCTGCACCTGCAGTGCCAACTCCAACTCCAGCTCCAGCCGTACCTCCAATTCCAGTAACTTGTCCCGGCATGAAGTAGGCACTTTTCTGTGCACCTCCTCCTATTGCTGCAGCTGCACTTGCAGTGCCAACTCCAACTCCAGCTCCAGCTGTACCTCCAGTTCCAGTAACTTGTCCCGGCATGAAGTAGGCACTTTTCTGTCCACCTCCTCCTATTGCTGCAGCTGCACCTGCAGTGCCAACTCCAGCTCCAGCTCCAGCTGTACCTCCAGTTCCAGTAACTTGTCCCGGCATGAAGTAGGCACTTTTCTGTGCACCTCCTCCTACTGCTGCAGCTGCACCTGCAGTGCCAACTCTAGCTCCAGCTGTACCTCCAGCGCCAGTAACTTGTCCCGGCATGAAGTAGGCACTTTTTTGTCCACCTCCTCCTATTGCTGCAGCTGCACCTGCAGTGCCAACTGCAACTCCAGCTCCAGCTGTACCACCAGCGCCAGTAACTTGTCCCGGTAAGAAGTAGGCACTTTTCTGTCCACCTCCTCCTATTGCTGCAGCTGCACCTGCAGTGCCAACTCCAACTCCAGCTCCAGCTGTACCTCCAAGCCCAGTAACTTGTCCCGGCATGAAGTAGGCACTTTTCTGTCCAGCTCCTCCTATTGCTGCAGCTGCACCTGCAGTGCCAACTCTAGCTCCAGCCGTACCTCCAGTTCCAGTAACTTGTCCCGGCATGAAGTAGGCACTTTTCTGTCCACCTCCTCCTATTGCTGCAGCTGCACCTGCAGTGCCAACTCCAACTCCAGCTCCAGCTGTACTTCCAGCGCCAGTAACTTGTCCCGGCATGAAGTAGGCACTTTTCTGTGCAGCTCCTCCTATTGCTGCAGCTGCACCTGCAGTGCCAACTCCAGCTCCAGCTCCAGCTGTACCTCCAGTTCCAGTAACTTGTCCCGGCATGAAGTAGGCACTTTTCTGTGCACCTCCTCCTATTGCTGCACCTGCACCTGCAGTGCTAACTCCAACTCCAGCTCCAGCTGTACCTCCAAGCCCAGTAACTTGTCCCGGCATGAAGTAGGCACTTTTCTGTGCACCTCCTCCTATTGCTGCAGCTGCACCTGCAGTGCCAACTCTAGCTCCAGCCGTACCTCCAGTTCCAGTAACTTGTCCCGGTATGAAGTAGGCACTTTTCTGTGCACCTCCTCCTATTGCTGCAGCTGTACCTGCAGTGCCAATTCCAGCTCCAGCTCCAGCCGTACCTCCAGTTCCAGTAACTTGTCCCGGCATGAAGTAGGCACTTTTCTGTCTAGCTCCTCCTATTGCTGCAGCTGTACCTGCAGTGCCAACTCCAACTCCAGCTCCAGCTGTACCTCCAGTTCCAGTAACTTGTCCCGGCATGAAGTAGGCACTTTTCTGTCCACCTCCCCCTATTGCTGCAGCTGCACCTGCAGTGCCAACTCCAGCTGTACCTCCAGTCCCAGTAAATTGTCCCGGCATGAAGTAGGCACTTTTCTGTGCACCTCCTCCTATTGCTGCAGCTGCACTTGCAGTGCCAACTCCAACTCCAGCTCCAGCTGTACCTCCAGTTCCAGTAACTTGTTCCGGCATGAAGTAAGCACTTTTCTGTCCCCTCATTCTTTCTCCAGTCACTGCAACGGCTCCAACTCCCACTGTGCCTCCAGTTCCAGTACTTTGTTCGGGCATGAAGTAGGCACTTTTTTGTCCTCCTCCCCCTGCTGAAACTACAGCAGCAGTCCCACCTCTAGCGCCAAATCCTTGTTCCGGCATAAAATATCCACTTTTTTGTCCTCCTCCTCCTGCTGAAACTACAGCAGCAGTCCCACCTCTAGCGCCAAATTTGTTCGGGCATGAAATATCCACTTTTTTGTCCTCCTCCCCCTGCTGAAACTACAGCAGCAGTTCCACCTCTAGCGCCAAATCCTTGTTCGGGCATGAAATATCCACTTTTTTGTCCTCCTCCTCCTGCTGAAACTACAGCAGCAGTTCCACCTCTAGCGCCAAATCCTTGTTCGGGCATGAAATATCCACTTTTTTCCTCCTCCTCCTGCTGAAACTACACCAGCAGTTCCACCTTCAACATCAAATCCTTGTTCGGGTATGAAATAGCCACTTTTCCGTTCTCCTGTTTCTAAACCTCGATCATCTGCACTTCCAGCTTCCCAAGTTCCTTGTTTATCCATGTAATCTGTAATCCCTTTCCCTGAACTATCCTCATCACCCTTTTTTGTACTCATTCCTTTTGATCCGGACAGAATATCAACCTCTTTTGAGCTGGAAACAGTTGCTTTGATACCTGATTCATTAGCAGTATCTTTTATTTCTGCTACTTTACCCTTTGCACCTCCCGCACTTTCTGCAAAAAAAACTATTTAATTTTAAAAATACTGATGTTCCCTTATTCCAAAAGTTTTTACTTTATTGCTGCATTTAAATCAAATAATAATTAATAAGTCTAATTAATATGACAAATAATTTGTAGCTGTAAATAAAATGATACTCGATTGAAAGAGAAGTCAAACTTCTCCTAACTCTGTCGGATTGTGAGAAACCCTCATTAAATTCACTAAACTCTTATTAGTATGTAGCATTGTTTGCAGTAGAAAATTGGAGAAATCTCTTTCGTTATACTTCCAAACAGCAAGAGATTCAAGCTACTACCTATATGACACATTTTAAAATACTTTTAATTTAATGAGATTCACTTGAACGATAGGAATAAATCCCTTCATTCCTTATCTTTTTTTTTTCTTAAATTAACAAATCTAGGATTAATTTCAAATTTGTAGGAAGCAGTTTATATCTAACGAAAAATTTTTTCTAAGGATAATTTCCAGATATTTCCCAGAAAATGTTTTTGGAACTTGAATTATTCTAATACTTCATATTTTGAATATCTCTTATTACTCCCTCAATAAGAAAATATTCTTGTGTACATTTTATTTGTATGATAAAATTTTACTTTTTTAAGGACATTTCTCGGGACTAATTTAAGGAGAGCAGTATAATGTTGTGGTTTATGAATTGATGAAATATCTCATTTTCATAAATAAAGTTTTACTTTATAAAATAAAACACTATCATCTAAAATGAGTTACCAAATTTATAAACTTTCCTATGATTTGATTTTCCAATACTAATATCAATTTTTAAATTTATATTCAATCGCTGTTACGTTTCTAATCTAAATTTCAAACATAACTGTATGTTGAGATTAAAATTATTTTAAATTTTGCTTTAAATTTTAGAATAGACTTGAAAAATGGATGGTTAATTTATTATTTGCTGGTGAAATTAGTAGAAATTCCGAAATGAGTAAAAATTCAAGTCAAACAAGAGCGACAGGAGGAGAAGGAGAATGAATATATTAATCTTACCACCTCGATCGATTCCCTTATCTTCTTCTTCAACTTCAGCTTCATCCCTTTCATCCTCAATATCCGTGCCATGTAAATCCGTTTCCGGAAGCGCTTCCTTATCTCGATCATCTTTTCCTGTTGATTTCATTTCTATCTTTTTCTCTTCTGCTGGTTTTTCTTTAATCTTTGCCATTGCTTCATCAGGTTTGTCGATTCTAAATGAAGAAAATCCATCATATGATGGGGGCTAAGTTAGTTAGTTTTCTCTTTTTTTTTTTTTTTTTTTAAAAAAAAGACAAAATTTAACACTTTTGAACCTCTTTTATAAAGATTTTCAAAATTTTTTGATTTTTCTAGTTTAAATATTGCACATTTTTTGACATTTCGATTCCAAATTTTTTCATATTGAAGTATATTGCTTTAGTTCTAATGAAACAATTATAGGTAATGGAAAAGAATAGAAGTACAGGTAAGTACATATACATATTATGAATCTCTTTGCCATAATATAAATATATTAATTTTTACTTGTCTGATTCCTGAAAAAGAGAAATTTGTTTTGTTAAAATGAAATAATATTTCAGAAATTGATGTTTAGGAATTCACAATTTCTTGTGATCATTTTCACTTTGAATCATTTATTCAATTGCTCCCTAAATTCCTTCGCTTAGTTAATAAATGTATTTTGACAATTAGTGAAATTCTGAAGTCTATCTTGATTTTAACTTTTGTGAATTAGCTGATATTTTTCCTATCAAAATTAATACAACCAAAAAATCTATTTAGTTTAGAGATGAATTAAACGTGAATTCAACCAGTTATAAAGCGAAATATATAATAGCAAAATAAATGAAATAAATTTAATTTTTGAAAGGCTAACTTTCTTCGGTGTCGATATGTGGCGTCGTCCTGTAATCATATTCTATTAAAACTCTTTTTCATCAATGAAACAAAAAAAAAATTACATGAAAATAAGACTTATCCAGTAAAAAAAAAATTTTTTTCTTAAATATAATTATTCGAAAAGTTTTTTTTTCCCACCTATTTTTCAAATCTTGATCAAAAACAGAATTTTTTAAGAAAAAAGAACATTACTTCTTTTCTTTCTACTTCCTTTTCCCACACGAACTTTCTGAAATAATAATTATTTACTTCCAAATTAATTTGACATAATTATATTGTTGATTTTTTGAAATTTATATTGAGCAAAAAAAAGCTACCGATCACAATTAAAACTAACTCATTTATTTTTTAATCTATTCTGCCTCATTATTATTATTATTATTTTTTTTTTTTGTAATTTAGAAAAAAAGAATGAAATTAGGAAAAAATGACCAAAAACCATCCAACTATTCAAAAAGAATGCAGTTTTATAGGATGGAAATGGTTAAGTAATCTACTAGAAAGCCTACGATGCCTAATTCAATCATTTATTTATTATTTATCATTTATCTAAAAATTTAAACAAGTAATAAACTTGCATAGCGTTCGTCGAAATAACTGTAATAAGGATTATATGCATCCACTATTTTATTATGCTAAAAAACATTATTCATTTTTTTTTTGTTTTTCTTTTTGCTTTTGTTTTTAAATAGATGATATGAAAAAAATTTTAGCTTAAATGAGAATTAATTATTTAATTAATCAAATCAACGAACTTCTACATTCTTCATACTTTTCCGCAACGGAACAGCATCTGAAATATATTCAGAACTTCTCAGGATAATATTCACAAAATGTATTATTTGAAATTTGTAAAAATTTTCAAATTTATTACAATTAGTTTTAATGAAATTTCTGCATGTTTTAATAAAATTTTATTTGTTATTCTTTTTCAATTACTTTAGGTAATTTTTAGTGATAATGACATTTGAATGTATTTGCATCATTTGTGGACTTACCTGGTTTGCGAGACCCAGAACCAGATGACTAAATTAAGATTCGATTCAAATTAAAAGTTCCATTTTATTCAAATATTGATACTTTTTACAAAATTCATTTAGATTATACTCATTTGTACTTATATTAAGTTTTTACCAAAAAAAAAAAAAAAAAAAATCCAATTAATCATTGTTAAATTTTTGATTGATATTTACTTCTACGACATTATTAAGCGAATAAATAATGTTGTTGAAAGACTTACTGTAAAAATCTGATAGTTTTAATGTCATTAAAAAAAATATTTCAAGTTAAATATAAAAAAATTCGGAGTTCATTATTTTATCATTGTAATTTTTCCAAAAAATTGTAACATACTTACACTAATTTCATAAAACATTTATAAATTAGAGTAACACAATACAATCAATCAATAACTTTTCATTCGCTATTTTATTCTTAAAATCATAAAAGTTAAAAAAAAAAAGAAGAAATGCCATGATTAATTATTATTGATTTGTTATTGTTCAGTTGATTTTTCAACAATTTTAAAACGTCCGTCTGCCAATAAACCGATAAAGAACAATGCAATATGATAAAGCATTTTTTCATCTTTTATAACAATTTCTGCATAAATGCTATTACTTATGAAAGATTATAATAAATTTCACAATCAAAATTTATGCATATTACATATACACAATGATAAATAATTCATATAAATAAATTCATGAAAGAACATAAAAGCAAATGATAAACAAACAAATAAACAAGCAAACTAATAAATAAAATTATTTGCAAGTGGTAAAGTTTGAAGAAAAAAAAAACACTTTTTTAATTATGTTTTGTATTTATTTGCATACATTTATTAAAACAAAATAATACTAAAATATATAGTAAATATAGTTTGTTACTAAAAATAATTTAGACGTGATAAATAAATAAATACTAAAATATAACCTAAGCGGAATTATTCATATACCTGACCAGAAAATGCTCATGTGATGTTGTTAAAATCCCTAAAAAGGGCTGATTTCAAAATTTAAAATTATACTTGCTATCCATTTGTAAATTAAATATGATTAGTATAATATTTTCCGGCAAAAACACACATATAAGAATTTTGGATAAACTAAATTTCTAAACGAATTTTTATTTTTTGGATAATTTGAAAAATTGATTTCCTGAAACATGATAAATTATACTGAAAAAGACTACAAAAAATAAGAAACATCAATAGGTATTAATATTACTATCTCAGTACAATAAGGTAAAGCAGAAGAATGCTAGAGAATGCTGCTAATTTGATCTATTGATTACGATAGATAATAACGAACAATAATAATAATAATAATGCAATAATCATGATTATGATTATCCGGATAATGATAATCTGTGATCTCTTCCATGACAATTTATCATATTTAGTATCAGTAAAACTAAATAAACAGTCTTTTTTTTTTTTTTTTTAATTTGTCTTTGTTATACAATAAAATAAATAATTACTTGAACATAAAACTGTTTGAATATATATGTTCTATTACCAAAAAAGGAAAAAATTCAAAGATTTAGTTCTTTAAATTACTAAAATTTTCAGAAATTTAAGAATTCGTTAATTGGTTTATTGATCTCCAGTTTTTTTTTTTTTTTTTTGCTATTGGCAATTTAATTTATAAAAAAATTAGCAAAAAAAAATATATAAAATTTAATTTGTAGAAAGAAATTTTTATGTTATCATATGAATCCAGGTGCACCATACAATCCAGATGTAAGTTACAAATGGATAGCAAATGTAGTCTCAAAATTGAAATTACATAATTTCGTTTAGGTTTCGAAACATATATTTTAGTTTCAGAATGGACAGTTTCCTTGTTTAGAAAGATTTTGAATTCAATTACTTCAAGAAATCTACAAACCTACCTAGCGTAACTCGTCCTATAATATTATAGATTTTCATATTTAGAGGCAAAATTTATGTTGTCTACTAAGATGAAACCAGATGGCACTGTTTAATTTAAAAATTAAAACTCTGTTAGATAAAATATGCAATACTTCTGCAGTTATCACATTAGAATTTTGTTGTGACAGAGCCCAAATATTAATCCCAATGTAACACGCTATTTTTTACGATTATATGTAAATACAAATTCACTTGTGATAAGTTATCAAATTCATATCATTTGCTGGATTTTTAAATTCTTTCGTTAATATTTTAAAGTTTAAAATACCAGAACAAATATACAGAAAAGTTCGGTAGATTGCTCAAAAGTTACCATTATCTGATTTTGATTATAATAAATTATAATAAAGGATTTAAATGTCTTTTTTTTTCGGTTAGTTCGCATTCAACTTGTGAAGATTTATCAAACCAACTGTGTCAAATAACTGGATCTGAAAATTCACTATACACAATTCAATATTGCTAAAACTATAAAAGCTAGGAAAGAACATTACATGAATAAATAGTGGAAATAAATTTGTCAAATTTCAATAATTTCGAAGTAAACAATTCATTTAACTACTATTACACTCGCATAACCTTGAAAGAAAAAAAAAACAATCTAAATTGACATGAAAATGCAGCACAATGTGCAAAATTATTTCTTCATAAGCTCTTTCATTGTTGTTCCATTGCATCCAACATTTTCTGGATCCAAATTTAAAAAATGAATGATACAATGCGCAGGATCGATATCCAATGTTTTCTTCATGAACTCTGATATTGATGAGGAATATTCGATATTTTTATCAGCCGAAAATGATCCAATTGATTTAACCTAAATTATATAAAACATGCCATCAAAAAAATCAATTGTTATTTAAGGACTGATGATAAAATTTGCTTTACTTGCCAAAATGATTGCAATTTTATCCCTTAGAAAAGATTGTAGTAAATGAATGTAACATAAATATGTATTTCCAATCCATAACTTCAGTTACTTTACATTCTCTCAAATATTCATCATACATTTCAACAAACATTTAACATATATAAAGATCTGGTTTATTTCATAGCGTGTCACAACAGTGTGATACAGTTAGAGAAAGTAGGGAAATGCTGGATGGATGGTGGATGCATGAGTGAGATGCATCTGGTAGATTCTTTATTCCTAAATTTTAATGAAATTTTGTTGATCAGAGAGTAGAGGTGTACAAACAAGGTGGACAGAAACTCTTCACAGTTACTAGAGACACTAATCAATAATTAGTTTAAGTTTAATTTTTCCTACAAGAAATGCGAATAGCAGCAAAATAACATATGGAAAAGATAATAGACAAAAGGGAATACACACTTATGTTATTTTGGTTTTAGCTAATTGACCCGAACCGAACAAATTTTGATAGTAAAATGATGATTGGTTTTGCTTCTGTAAACATTAGAAGGTAGCATGAGCAGTACACGTTTAGACTGAGGTGGAAGATGTTATGATTGTTTTAGGTTAGGGATCAATAAGCTTTGGTGACGTTTAGTAACGTGTTGTTTATGCTGTATTACGTGATAAATGTTCGCATGAATACTTAAAAAGATCTGACTGCAAATATTTATGTAATATTAATTGAAGCTTAGCACCATTGGAGGTGGTGCGAAATGTCTGTTGGAGGACGAGCTAGCTCGTCACGTGGGAGCATTTTAAGAAGAGGTCGTACACTCTTGCCGAATCTTTCCATTGCGGGGAAACGTGAAGCAAAATGCGGATCAACTGAGTATTCTACTTATTTATTCCTTAATCATTTTATCAAACATCTCGTCTCACTTTTTTTTTTTTTTTTTGATTATTTATAAATTTCTCTCTGCAAAGAAATTAATATTTATAATTCGGATAGGAAAAAAAAGACAAAATATATATTTTGTTGGGAGAAAAATTGTTCATATTTTTTAGGACAAAGGGAACACGTCAAGGAGAAAGAAGACGTGATCGAGGAGATCGTGGGAGATGTGGACGTGGTCGAGATCGAGAGACAGGAAGACAGTTGTTTATAGAGCAACAAGGGATATTTTCTTCCGGTTTAAATGATGACGGACGACATAATAAGATGAAAAGTAGCATGTCGGATGGTAAGTTTTTCACTTCTATAGTCAAATTCGTAGGAATTTGATTTTTATGAGGTAAGACTTTCATTGAGGTAAGACTGTAATTGAAGCAGTTGTTACAGAATTACGCACAACAAATCTGGGACGTGTGAAGAAAGTAAATCCAGAACATACGACGAAGGAAAAAGATATAAATTCTGTAACATATGAATCAGAATGGTTGTCTGATGAAGAAGCTGACAATGAGGAATTGCGAGAATTGCTACGAGATGGGGTACAGTTATTACAATTTTAATCCAAATTTCTTGATTGAATATGGCAGTTTAGTTTGTTCTATTCTTGATGTATCATCATAGTGAGGATGATTATCCAGACATTCACTCATAATGAACAAAACAAAATAAAAAAGAAAGGAAAAAATGAAAAGCAATAATGTGTTAAGAGAAATCAGGGTATATCGTTATTTTATGCTCGAAGTTAGATGTAAATGAATTACATTTGTTTTCAGTTCTTGTCAGACTTGAAACCGGGTAAAGTTATTCCATTAGTTCTACCAGAAACAGAGCAAGAGCAGTTCCAGATATTGGTTAAAGAAGAGAGAAATGTGGAGGATGGTTATGAATCTATGGATACGAGCCCTCTGCTATCAGCAAAGAGAAAGTTAGTTTTGAATGTTGCTCTGAAATGCTTATTTCTTTCCTTTATTTCTTATATATATATTTATATGTATCTTTATTTGTTTGCAGAAGGAAGAATAATCAGAATCTTAAACAAGAATCTAACTTTGAAGAGGACGTCAAAACGTTTCAACTAAAGGAGCAGGACACTACTCACACAGTATTGAATCCAACTGCAACAAGTAGTCGTACAGCAGCTACTATCATGCGGAAAATTCAAGAAAGTATTCTTTTCTTCTTCTCCGTTGTCTTGCCATCATGTTGATATCTGACTGGTCCGCTAATTAATAGTTAATGCGATTTCAGATGAAGATGGTTCAGTTTTGTTGCTGCAATTGCCAAGTACGTTGTCCGCTGTCAAGGAGTCAGTTAGTCAGGAAGATGCAGTAGAAGGATCCAGGGTAAAATTTTATCCCTTTTTAAACATAATTTTGTCCTTTGTTATTCTTAAATGCAAATCACTTTTTATGCGTTTTTTTCTCAATGTTCAGCCATAAACTTCAACCAAGTGTAACTGCTATGTAACTCGTATTATTGCTTTTCTTCTTGTGATTTCTCTGATCGCATACTATTCTTTTGGAAACGTCCCTTGTATTACCGATTCTTTTTTATTATATCAATGATTTCTGAGTTCTGTCTTTTTAGTCCGAAGAAAACACAAGTTCAACAGTAAAACACTGCCTTGACAGTTTTGCAAACGGTTGCAAAATTGGAAAACTACGAATAAAAAAGGAAGGTCGCATGGAACTTTCGTTTTGCGGGATGCCCTTAGATGTAACTTGCGGTGCTGCTACAAAATATAATGAGGTTAGCCGCTTCTCGTCGACTAGCATGCTGCTTCGGCAAGTTTAACAAGAGTTTTTATGATGTATGTACACGATTTGAATCTATAGTATGCCGCACTCTTGTTTAGGAGTGGGTGAATAGTTTGCTGTTTTTGCTACCACTGCGGGAAAGATATCTTACCAAAGTGATCACTAAATCCCCGGAAATCTTTTTTTTTTTTTTTTTTTGATACTGCCGAAAAACATGCTGAAGTTTGGAAATTTCAGTCAGTATTACTTATCGATTCTGAGAGTCAAACGACAACTTCGACGATCAAGAGTGAATACAGCGATGAACAGTCAGCATGCAGAGGATATATTCTAGGTAAAATTGTAGATTCTTTCATCTGTTCACATGATCTTCCGGAGGCTCTTGATAGTAAACGAGAACAGCAGCAGCGAGATAAACGAAAATTCTATAAAACCAAAAACCAACGAGATGAGAGGGAGGATCTGGAAATGAAGGATTTACTTCTAGAGTTACGCTCACTCGAAAAGAAAGAGGAATCTTGGTCAAAGTGGACTCTAGAATATTCAGATTTTCTAAAATACGATGATTCATAGTATCTACTATATTAGGGTTTCCAAATTCAGTATTAAGTAACAGTTTTTAAAATTAATTCTTTGGGATACAAACAGTGTTTGATTATTAACACGTATGAGAAACGTATACAATATTTTCGAGAAGTGCCTTCTACTTTCATTTATTTTTAAACGCTATAAGTTCACTTATGTATGAGAAAGTATTTTCTTTCCGTCTCCTATATTTTTATTGTTTCCATATGTACACTATTGAACTTCTGAAACTATTTGAGGAGTTATTTTGCTGAACTTTACATAATTTTTTTCTTATTTGACTAATACGGGTTGCTGTTTGCTTATTACTAGCTTCTTACTTTGTATTCCTACTGAGGTAATTTCTTCTTTCAAAATCAATCCGTTGTTGCTTTAACAGAATGTTTGAGGGAATGTCAACTTTCGGAAGAATTTTATGAAAGTTGCTTTGTGTGTCGAGGTTGTTAGTTGTTCTCGCTATTGTTCGATTGTAAGGCATCTGCTTTATAAGCAAAAAATAAAAAGAAAAGGAATTTAATAAATTAAACTGACCACTGTAAAACATGATGGATTTTCAGTGGTGCCATGTGATAATTGTGCATTTGGCATTACCAGTAAAAGTATCCGACTTGTTGGTTTTCCTAGCATTTTCGCCATTAACTCCGTGAACTGAACATTGAAATCACTCGGAAATCTACTCGCGGGAACGTTCGAAGCAAGAGTTATCAGCGGCATTCTAGAATGTTGCTTTGCAAAGATAGTTTTTTTAACTTGAATTTCAAAGAAGAACTAAGGATATAACGAAAGAAAGACAACTGCATGTTCAGTACTTCATTTCCAATAACAGTGAAATCTGCATGTAGGGAATCATGCCTTTCTATCACTAAGTTGAGAGCATCTTTTATCGAGCATTTTCCTAGATAATCAATCTGAGAACCATGAATATAACTAGGAACTTTGCCAATGAAACTGTGACTGAGTAGCGGGCAAATGCAACAAATCCTAACCATGGGAAAAGTAGACTTTGAGATTGTATATGTTTGTGTTACATGGAAAAGATTAGCAAAAGATCTCACAGAAACTGCCTGGAAGTGCTTAAATAAACTTGATTGAAATATGCACATGAAGTGGTATGCAAGTGCAGACATTTGATCATTTTTTAAACAAATCACTGTCCAAATGAACTCTGAAAACTTAGTTCTATACTTGGCTGCAAACATCCATATAACAATAGTTCATTTGTATACACCAAATATAACCGTAAAAAGAAATAATGTTCTGAGTTTGTGATACCGTTTGCTGAATGTGTCGTTTAGATTAACCTATCGTTCCGAAACGGCTTATCACAATCGGTATAAATAAACTGCTGTATAGATGGTTCTGTTCTAATTGTCATGTTGTATCACCACTACTAATCAAACCAAGAAATAATTGACAAAGAGCAAGGATTATCAAAAAAAAAAAAAAAAAAAGTGAAAAAAATTGTCAAGAAGAGAGTTTTTTCTCTAAGAAACAAAATAATTCAAAAAAAGAAAATTGCATTAAGATTACAGATTCACTGGTCTTGAGCAATCAGTATCTCACATAAATTCCACTCCTACTAAACGGTAGCGAATGAATCTTATTCTAAAGAAGCAAATAGATTATCCATTCTCTTCCAATATTATTTTACACGTTAAGATGGCCTAAATCATTACAGCTCTTCTCACAATATTATTTATCCAACTAATTATATATTTTTTTCTAGCTAAATTTATTTTGCAAATAAAGTTCGACGCTAAGTTTGACTTATTCTAGAATCAAGGTCAAGGTCATCATTCTACCAATTCCATACAACATAGTTAATGAAGGTACAAATTGTCCAGCTGATGCCATCAATCACTACTCACATTCTCTGTGTAAATAACAAAAAAAACCGATCAATATCTTTCATTCGTTACCAAACATTTTTCCATAGTGGCAATTTTTCTTCTAACGTCTACTAAAAATCTAAGCAAACAATGACCATCACAAAGGTTAACGCATAATCTGTAATTATGAATTCAATTAATCTCAAACTGTAAACTCATCTGATCCGTCAATATTGCACTTTGTAATTGAATGTAATTCTTAGAGATAACATTCATCTAAGATTTCTAATAAAAGTAAAGTGACATTCACAGTACAAATTATTTGTTGTTCGAAAATTTCGTCGTAAATTGATAAAATCTTTCATAATAAGCTAGATAATGAATATTTGCGTCAATAGTCGAAGAATTTACGACAAATTCAACAACCATGGATAACGTCTATGGAAATTATGAAATAAAACGGTAACATATTTGAGCATAAGATTGGAACTGTACCTTGCATTCAGTGAATGAACGACTTAATAATATTGTAAATCATTTATGCTCACATATTCATAGCTTTTAAACACGTTTGTTGGTTGCAATACTTTACAATTAATGATCAATAGGAGAAAATGAAAAGTTAAAACTGAAAGATTAAAACTAAAACTTTACCAAAAAAGCGGGTAAATTACATGATTTACTATAAAGCTTGTACTATATGATAAATTACATGAGACATGACTTGCATAAAAATGCATATTGAAATACTTTCCAAAAACTGGAAAGTTGTTCGAAAAACATTTACCAAAATTTGACATTATGTTATGCATTCCTGCAAATTTAGATTTCTGTTCATAAATTACTACCAATGGAAAACAAATATAGACGTATTCTCAGATTGCTACAAATGCTTTCTCAAATGCACATAACGAAAGGAAGTATCAAATGACCAGAGTGATTACAATTTTGAAAACTCAAAAGACGCGATAAAATGTATACTGCTAATGTATATTTCATATTATTAAAATAGGTTTTAAGTTCTTTCTTCTATACTTCTAACAACAAATAAAACCTAACGTATCAATAGTTTCGCGAACAAAATGACATTTAAGAATAAGGACGACCCTTAAATAAAATGCATGTCTTTCTGAAAATTATTTTGATGCAGAAATCATGAAAAACATCTGTTTCCTGAGGAATGAAATATCAATAAGAGTTCAATACTCGAAAAATGAACAATTTCCATAACAGTTAGCTAAAGTTATCTGTAACAAAAATCAGTAAATAACAGATGAGATACAATTGACAGTCACAATAACTATTGTGAGCTATTAATATAAAAGTATTTCTCAATTGTGAAGGCTGTTGTCATCTGGTTCACTGGTTTTAGTGTCTTCTTCGGCATAACCTCGGCGTGCACGATCGAATTTACGAAGTTTACGAGCACGGGCATGTTGCTCTAGAATAAAACACTAAAACTCGAGAATAAAAGTAATTAACACAGAAGAAAACAAATCCAAACATACTTTGTTCTCGTTTTTGTCGCTCTAGAACTTCGGCCATATCAACTGTGTTGTATTTGACAAACAAAGGGTCCTTGACAATCGCTTCCTCCACTCGAACTAGTTCGTACGCTTAAATTAACAAAGTCAAAATGATCTACCATAAAATTTTACTTTCAATACAAGAAAAATATAGTCAAAACAATATAAATGAGCTTACTCCCTTGCTGATCACGGCGATATACAGGCTTCTCGCCTAACCAGCGACGAATGGGAGCAACACGATTCCGTGTCGAACGTCGTAAACCTTGGCCCTCTTCTTCGGAATGTACTGGAAAGAAGAAGACTTGTATTACAGAAACTCAAACTTTTATAATAAAACTCGAAAATGAAAAATGGTAACTCTGATATAAAAATGACTAAACATTGTAGTTTTATAAACGTTACTTATTTTGCGCGCACATAGGACAGCAGCATGTTTTTTTTCATCCTTAGCCGCTATAATGTGTACAGGAGAGGCCGAAATATCAGATGGCTGACGTGAATCACCACTAAATGACGGATTCAAAACATAATCATGTTTGACAACTGAATCCTCCTTTTTTCCTGGTGTATTCACCGATACGTTTGAATCGTTAAGCACTGTAACAGTGAACGGTGAGAATTTGCGTCAGTACTTAATCACTTAAATTTTTCATTGCGTGTCACGAAAATGATTTTTTGAAATAAGAAATAACTTGATCAAATAAAACAGTTTTAGTAGGGCAATACAGGAAAGTCACTAATAAATTCAAATTTTCCGTAACTACAAATTCTCAAGAATTTTTCTGAAGCTTTAAAGTCACAATATATTTACCCTCCTCTACTATAATCGTAAAACTATATAAAAGACATAATTGATTTAATTAGGAATGATAAACACATACTTGACAGAATCCTTCGTCGACCGAAGTAATTTCCTGTGTCAAATACAGGTGTCTTTTGTTTTTTTCGGTATTCGCTGGCAGTAGTATCAAAAATAAATTTTGGTTCCTCCGATGATATGTTTTGTTCATTTACGATGCTCAAACTGGCTGTATCTTCACATAATTTTTCCACTGCATCACCATCAAAACTATCAATAACAACCAGCTGGGTAGTGTTCATTTCCTCTAGAATGCTTTCGCGGATACTTTTGGAAGGAAGACAACAACAATTTTCTGAACATCAAACTTATCTTTGATTCCGACAAACAAAAATAAAACCTTGAGCATTGAGTGGAGAATCTTTAGCAATTTCTGTTATTGGACTCGTATGTTTCGAGGAAAAATCGGGATTCTAAAAGTTTTTATGCAAAGTTGAAAAATTGAAAAAAAAAAATGCAGAAAAGGATAAGTATTAATACTCTACAGTTTTTATGAATTCAATAATAGAACTATTATCCAATAGATAGGTTTGAACTTACCTCAGCACTTTTTTCAAACTGAAGTTTTCCGATTGGCAACAATAATTTCGAAGGATGGGGTCGACGTCTGTATGCAGGGCCACTTCTCATAACATTATCAACAAGCATTTGGCTTATATCTAGAAATGAAAAATCAATTAAATTCTTAGAAAAATTCCAAACAAAAAAAGGGAAAAAAAGTACCAGCTTTAGCAACAGGTGTTTTTGGAACAGACGATAACGAGCTGTCTCCTGTAATTTTCTTCCATTTCTTTTCTGTATTGGAAGTTGGACGAGGCGTTCCACCACTTTTCAAGTGCTCGAAAGCAAAACGTGACATCGGTATCTGTGTGACCGAACTTGTGCTTTGGTTTTCAGGTTTAGCTCCATTGCATTTCTCAAAAACTTTAAAGTAAGACTAACATAAAACATATTTGGTTACAAGTCTAAAATAAAGCTGATGAAGTCAGTATCAAGGAATCAAAAGAAATATGAAATAGAAAATTTCATACTTGCTGTGGTGTACGTATTTTGCTAAGCACATGTGACTGGGGCGTTAACTCATAATCAACCAAAGCGTTTCGCTACAAAAATATACTTCAAAAGTCAACACTTTATTTCAAAAAAAAAAAGTTTTGCTTTATCCTTTAAAAATTAGCGTATTCAAGTTCAAGAGACTTCTGAAATACTTCACCCTAGTATTAAACAGATTTAATAAAAACCATACTTTTGACAGCGAAGACGGAGTACCATATTGTGAAATTGTTGTTAATGCATTAGTTAGTAGAGGTGTCCGAGGTGTGGAAGCTTTCACAGCAGTTGGCGGACAGAAAAAACGTGAAGAGTTTGCCAATGGGCGACGTATCGGTGTTAGCTGAAACAGTAAATTTGATTTTTTTTTTTCGATTTTAGAATATACGAAAATTTAAGAAAAAAAAAATTAAATAATTCGTCGGTTTAATCGAAAACTAATATTAAAATGAACAAAAAAAAAATACAGTATTCGCAGGCATAATCCGGCTGTGAAATGATACCGGCGTACCAGATCCTGTTTGCGTAGCGTGACTAAAACATAGATTTTTTAGGTTTCTGTAACTAGAAATAATCTACAAAATCAACATTAAAAAAAAAAAAAAAAATTGTTAGATGAGACAATAATATTTTAATAAAGATAAATTCTACATAAATCTTGATCATTCAAATATATTTTCTTCCAGAAATAAATATTGCATTTGAGAATGAAGTTAATCCCCATAAAAAGCAATGACATTTACCTAGCCAAAGCAGCATGATGGGCATTATAACGTGGACAAACATAACAAGCAGATCCTTCAACTGGAGTACTAGTGCCACGTAAAGCTGTAGATGCAACAGATTTCTAAAATAGATAAAAACCTCAAAAAAAAAAAAAAAAAAAAAAGAAATACTAAACTTTCAACGAGCATAAGATTTACTTTCTTGAACAAAGGTGTAGCATTTATAGGTTGTTTTCTGACAACTGTGCGCTTCATTACTGTCTCTACATGTTGCTTAGGTGTTTTGAAAGATACAACAGTTTGGTCATTTGGACGTGGGATATTTAGATTTGTAATACCGCTGCCAATCAGCTTCAGCAGATCAGGACGAGAAGTCCGGCAAACTCGTTGATTGACTGGAGATGATATCTGCAATAATCAAAAAATACAATAACAAAAATACTCGAATGAATAAAAGATGGAAATAAAATTTTACTAGGCCATAAAGAACAGATGGGAGAGCTAAGTTCACGTACTTCACTTTTAGCACCAGTTGACAAATCGACTTTATCAATACGAGATAAATCAAAGGTTGCTTGTAGAGGGGCAGGACATGCAAAAACTTTTTGGTTTGCAGATTGTGGTGATATTCCATCGTCCTAAAAAGAACTGCTTCAATTTATAAAAAATAAGAATAGGGATAGAATAAACATGACTTTAATGCCAGATAATTAGTAATGTTCAATGATTTATCCTGGACCATACCCTTAATGCCAATCTCAACAGCTCTACTGTAAAAATAAAGAACTGGGGCTGTTGTTCCGACAAATAATAGAGTAAATCATTTTTTACAAAAAAATTTTTTAAATTTAAACTTTGATAATTTACAATACTAAAGTTTTGAAAACTAGCATGATGCACATTGATCGAATTAGTAGTTTGCAACATTTGATATTCAGCCACTTCCATGACTTTATTCAACATTTCCGGCTGCGGAGATGTATTTTTCGCAGTCTACAGAAAGTATTTCTTTGCATAAACATCTTTATGACTACGCAAATAGTAAAGTTGCTAATTAATAAAATGTTACTGTGAATACGATCAGTTTTCCTTTTAAACATTGTAATTTTCTACTTCATTTAAGGAAGTTATTAAAAAAGTTTGAAGGAATAACACTGAAAGATATGGTTTTGATATCGCCATTAATCTAAATCAAACTTCTTGCATCTGGTGTATCACTCGAATAGTCGGTATTAGAACTACTCCAACAGCGACATTTATCAGTTCTTTCAATAAATTTTCTCAAATAAAGACGAGAAATTTTAAAAGTTAAATATGGACGAGAACGTCCATCATATTTAACTAGCGAAAGAATAAAAAAAAAAGAAAAAAATCTCATAGCTTACTTCATCAGTATGATTACAACTGAATAAGGAAACGTCGTGCTGATCCTTCTCTCCATTTTGAGCTTGACCACCCTGAAAATAACTATTGTTGCTCTAAGGAATTTGCTAAAAAAAAAGAAAAAAAATTTAAGTACATATTTTTAATTACTAAAAAAAAAAACCTCAGCTTCATGTAATTTCTCAACAATGATTGTTCCATCTAATTTAAACTGTAATATGGGTTTACATTCTTCGCTGCTACTGACACGGTCTTCACTAGCAGGCAAAAGTAAGTTTACATTATCTCCATTTTTTCCCATGATGTATGTCAGATTTTTGTCGTTGTCCTAAAATTACCAAAGTTCCATGCGAAAACAAATTCAAAGAACTTTCAAGATTTGAGAAATAAGAAAAAAGATTGACAAAACAAACCAAAATTGAGTCAACAGCTCCACACACGTCTTCATTTTGATGATGTGTAATATGACGAAAATAAGAAGCTGAAATCACAATATGTATAATCATCAGGTTTCACCGTGAAAATGATAAGAAAATGCAAAACCCATTACAGTTGTCGACCTCCATCGGTTCACCAAAACCGTTGCCTTGGTCGCCTGCAGAATCATCAACTGCAGTTTTTTCTGCTTCAGTAGCACTAATAACGTTTTCTTTGTGACTTTTGTTCACTGAAATATGTTTAGTGTTAACTTAAGGTTGAGATGAAAGTAAATTTGTATAAGAATAAAAAAACACAAACCTGATTCGCCATCTGTGTTGTATGACGTTTCAATATAAGTGATACTGAAATCTGGAGTTGGCGCACGATCCGTTAGGATGTTAAAATTAGGATGCGTTTTTCTCTCCTTAATTATATAAAATCTTATCGCTTCGTACTATATAGTTCTAAGTAAAGCGACCTCCAGATATTTCGTTTTATTTTAATACAATTAACTTTTTATTAATACAAAAAGTTACATTTTATGTTTATTACAAAAACAATTAACTCCAAAGATTAGGTGACAGTTACAAAAATCAGACATTGTCAGAAAAAACAAAACTTCGAAATATTACTTTTTCTATTCGTTCCTCTGCTTCTTTTCGAAGAGCTTCCAACTGCTCATTTTTCATTTCAATCTGCACAGGTGAAATTTTTACTTCATCCAAAAATCTGGTACATCCTCCAATTCCTCCGAACCATAATATCCCGTATCACTTCCTCTCCAGCCGTATAATTGATCAGTGCAAATTATTTTCTGAAAGTAAAAAAAAAAAAAAAAATACATGATATTAATATCTCTGTACTCAACAGTAATATAATATGTTTCAACTTCTGCCATATAAATTAATGATCAACGCTACAGACTTAATTAACTGATGATTCGTGACAAATAATTTAAATGTTTCTTAATCATAATTAAATCTACAATAAGAAATGTAGCAACATAAGATAACATAACATAGAATACTTACTCGGCCACATTTTATACTTCTGGTATGTTTAAACCATTTCGGTAACATACTGCTAACATCACGAGGACACTCAGATTCTGCTACCAGTGATGACATTCTCCTCTAGAAATGATGCAGACTATGAAATGATTCTAAAATGAAACAAAAAGTACATACCGCAGCTCTCCTTCACCCCTCACATACCAATAAATCGTACAGTAAGAATTTCCCGCCACCTAGGATCATAACATAACTTTTCGGATCACGAGACAGACAGTGAAAATATTACATATTTGTAGAGAGAGAAGAGATGCAAAGAATGTAGGAATAGTACCATTAAAAGAGCAACGAGATGTCGCTGTATAAGAGAGAGAGAGAGAGAGAGGGGGACAGGGAGAGAAAGATGTTTGTTTAATTCTTTTATTTAGAATTCCCAGAATGCACTCCCTGCTATTCCGCGGTGTTTACAAACTACTTTGTTTACTTGTTCAAGAAACGACATAATGATGCATAACTGTGACAATGGTAGTGATTAAATTCTTTTTTTTTGTTTGCAAAAGATATCAATAGAGCCTGGCTAATTAGATAGTGATTAAAATTGAAGGAAATATGAGAATATTAGAGGAGAAAATGATAAATTGATAAGAATGATAACGAGACATGAAAGATCAAATGATAATAGATTTGATAAAATAGATCAATAAACCTCTTTTGATATTAGATAGGCGCAAATTTTATGTATTAATATTGCACTAAATATTATGATTACATATGCTAATTTGATGAATGTTTTGAAATACATTTCGGATACAGTGGAAATTTCAACTCACCAACTTACTGATGTAATATGAGATATGCTAATATAATGCAAAAATCTATCCTTTATATACATTTTAATATCATATATGATGTTATGCATGTTGAAATGATGCATACATTTAAACGTGACGTGTGCACGTATGTTACACGTATGCAAAAATTACGCAAGTTTCAATACAATTCAAATTAGGTATGATGTATATCTTAACTACATATACACTTGAACGCTATATATGTTTGTAAATGTTTATATTTTATGTTCATATTTGTTTATAATATTCATATTTCACAAGCATATGTGCTTACAGACATATATTATTTATATTTTATTATTATGAACATCGTCTAATTCTATACAAATTTCAAATATGCTGATTTATTTCATCATCACGCATATATTTCATTTTTTTTTTCATGAGAAAGAAGCATTAATTAATATTTGAAATGATTAAAGTAGTCTATGAAGAAGTAATAAAGAGATTTCTCAAGAGAATCTGTTTGGAACGAAAACTGCTGAAGAGAATTTCTTTACAAGTTGCAGATTCCATTAACTAAATATTCAAAGTTTTTTTATTTAGGTTGAATTGATAGCTGACAACTTACACTTTTCGTCCACTCCCACTATTTCAAATTATTAATTGAATTTGAAATTTTTTGCTATTTTATACACAGATAAATGTTATTAGCTTCTGATTGGTGTACTAATTTTAGCCCATTGTCGACATTTCCCAATGTTAAATTCTGCTAAAGTTATCTACAGGTGATGATGAATTCATGGCAAGCAAGCAGTGAAGTCAGAAAAGCGGCCAAGGACTTTGTGGTTTTCCTTAACAAAGCTGTGACACCGTTTCATGGTATATATTTTATTTAGTGCTTCCAATGAGTATTTATTATAGTAATATCCTCACTAACATATCACAAATATAAAGGTTAACTTCAGCTTTTTTCTCCAAATTAAGAATGTCAAGTTATTCAATCAGTACGGATTTTACAGCTGTCGAGGAAAGCGCTAATCGATTAAGGGATGCTGGATTTCAAGAACTAAAGGAATTCGAACACTGGACGATAGAACCATCAAAAAAATATTTCATCACAAAGTATGTTTCATTAGTTATCTGTGGATAGTATGGGTTGCTGTAGGCCAAAAATGAATTCATATCGAATGCAAATCATTATGAAGATATAATAACCTAATCTTCAGGAACAAATCGACAATTTTAGCTTTCGCTGTTGGTGGAAAATATCGACCAGGTAATGGATATTCTATGATTGTTGCACATACCGACAGTCCGTCACTGAGAGTAAAGCCAATTTCAAAATTATGCAGTGATAAATACTTACAAGTTAGTTGGTTTTTCTTCTCCTTACGAATCTTTATCTTTCTAAATGACAGTAATTGAAAGAAATACAAGACGTTTAAATAAATTGTCGTGCTGACTACTCCATTTTTTTAAGGTTGGCGTATCAACTTACGGTGGAGGAATATGGCGAACTTGGTTTGATCGTGACCTCAGCATTGCAGGGCAAGTAATATATAAAAAAGCAGGTTTTTTTTTCTGGTTTTTTGATACTGCAAACACTTTTATGAGTAGTAAGTTTTAATAATGATGACCACTGAAAATTGTATTTTAATTATAGGAACAACAATGTTATTTTGTAAAGGAATTGACAATCTTCAGCATCATATTCAAACATGACTGTGCAAATTTTTGTGTATACCACTCATATAAAAATTTGCAGGATAACGCGATTGTGCAAAAATTGGTGAATGTTGATGCTCCCATCCTTTTCATACCAAATTTAGCAATTCATCTCACTTCCGACTCTCGCAACAAATTTGAATTCAATAATGAGACAAACTTGCGACCCATAATCGCCACTCTTGCAACTGAAAATCTAAATAAAGTGAATGAATGCTTTTCTCTTTATTTTTATTTTTTTTTTTATGCAGAATTAAATATTTAGCATTTTGTCATAGATGGAAATACCATCTAAATTTCCTACGACATAATCAGGAAAAAAGTTGGACTGGTGGAAATTTTTTGTGTTCCTTTTCACAGTCCTCGAAACTTGGGAAGGCACTGTCACAGGTTTAGAGGCTTATGACTTCAGGATGTAATCATTTTTTTTTTTTGTTTTTTTTTTTTTTGAAGATGGAATGAAGCAATAATATTGTCGTGTAGTTTCAAAAAAAGAAAAAAAAATACTGAGATTGATTGATCTGGAAGTATTTCAGAATGCGAAGGAATGCTCAGCAGATGATGTTGGCATTAACTCCAGTAGTGTGGTAAACGATCATCACATGGTATTTCTGAATACAATAGCTAGTGCAGCTGGTTGTGAACCTGATAACATATTGGATCTTGACTTATATCTTTATGACCATCAGAAGGCGGTAAGACTTGAACATTCATTGATTTTTCGTTTGCTGTTGTCAAAGTTGTTTGACGATTTATCATCACAATCATTTAGACAATTGGAGGTGTCCATGAGGAATTTATTAGTGGTCAAAGATTGGACAATTTAGTTGGTGCATACACGTGTATCGCAGGACTTCTGAACAGTGTTGCTACAGAGAATGCACTTGCCGATGAAGAAAATATTAGATTGGCTGCTTGTTATGATAACGAAGAAGTAAGTGGTCGATAAAATTTTCACATTATTCTGATCCAATTCATCTAATAGCTTTTTGAATTTCAGTGTGGAAGTGATTCAGCACAAGGCGCTGCTAGTAGCTTTACTGAATGGGTCTTAAGACGTTTAGCAGCGGGTGATTCACGTGCAGCATTCGAGGAAGCCATAGGAAAGTCATTTATGATTAGTGCAGATCAAGCACATGCAGTGCATCCTAATTATAAGGAAAAACATGAGGTAAAGTTCAGCTAAATCTTTTCAACTTTCATATCACTGATAATGAAAGTGAGTCATTCATTATTAACAAATTGATATTGCAGGAATGCCATAGACCAGATCTTCACGGAGGTGTCGTAGTCAAAATAAATGCTAATCAGCGTTACGCTACAACAGCTACTACACATAGTATTTTGAAACAAATTGCAAGTCTGGCAGGTGTACCACTGCAGGTATAACTCTTGTTTTATTTGCAAATTTGATGGACTCTTCTGTGACTTCTTCATCAAAACTGCAAAATATGTTAACAACTAGATTGCTTTGAACTATCGAAAAAAAAGAAAAACTAGTTACAATGATCATCATTTAAACGAGAATATTCATTTTCATAATTTCACCTTCTAGATTGTTTCATACAATACGAGCCAATTTTAACTGTCATTTTAAATTTGCAAAGAAAATGCTGTTCATAAATGTCAAATCGGTTGTACATATATGATATATTGCAGAAAGTAGTGGTTAGAAACGATATGCCATGTGGTTCAACAGTTGGACCCATACTTTCTACTCGCCTAGCTATCCAAGCAGTGGATGTTGGTTGTCCACAGCTAGCAATGCATTCGATACGTGAATTGACGAGTACGTCCAGCATTCATCAAGCTACTATGCTGTACTCGGTTAGTCCTTCTCCTCCCCAAAAAAAGAAAGAAAACTTTATTACGAAAAAACGTTGTCGGTGAAAAACGAACAGATTTACTCAAATTTTTTATTACTTAAATGTTATACTTGTATGTTTTCAAGCAAATGAAAGTCTGCAGCACTCACCATAGGATTTTGTTTTTAAATTACTTACAATCTTTTAGGCTTTCTATCAGCAAATCCCGCACGTTTTGGCATCCATTTCATGAAGAGATCAACGATTTGTTTATTATTAGTCTCTGTTGGTTATTGTTACATTTTTCCATTTTCATTTTTTATTGACATATTTCTCTTTTCTAAAAGAAAAACAA